TTAATTTCGCCTTCTGCCGCAACTTGACCTTTGGAGATTTACGCGTCGGCATAGAAGTGAATTAACATATTCTTTCTGAAAAAGTTTGGAGAAAATGTGCCTGGGCACACAAAAAGGTTTGAATCTGGATGTGTTTTAAATGAACAATATTAATTTCGCCTTCTGCCGTAACTCAACCTTTGGAGACTTACGCGTCAGCACAGAAGTGAATTAACTTGTTCTTTTGAAAAGAGTTTTAAAGGAAGTCTCGAAGGAAAAAAGAATTTTGTGTTTGTTGATATTTTTTCTTGTGGATAATTGCTAGTTAATCTCAAGAGAGTGACTTTAGCCATTTCTCTACTTATTAGTGAAATAAGTCTTTGAGACTTGAACCATGCCAAGGCTTAGAATGGAAAAACAACAAGATTGAGAAGAGACCCGCTTATCATCTCCCATGTTCAACAAAGGCGCGATTCTCGTCAGTATATTTTTAAGTATTTTTGAAGTTTGTAAAAAAAAGAAGTTTTTGTTTTTTTTAAATGCACATGCGAAACGTGGAAAGAAAAGTCAAAGAGGAGACTAGCCTATTTATAAACTTAATGTTATCGTACTTCATATGATCTATGGGAAGCGATAAATGCGGGGTGAAAATAGAAAGAAAATATACCAAACGAGTACTAGCCCGTAAAGCAAAGCAAAAAAGCAAAGAAACCTGATGATCTCGCGAGCTGCTAGCATCAACAAAGAAAAGAGTTAGAAATCCAATACTCGGAATAATTGTTGAAGCATCATCGATGTGAAAATAAATCACAATCGAAATTTCAAGCGTATCCGCATATCACATAATAAACCTGCATAAAATTTAAATCTCAACAAATCAAAGGTGAATCGTGAATTTCGAATAATCGGATAACCACGAATTAATTCCTAAAAATCAAAATAAGAAAAATCTAACAAATTTTACTGGTTTTTATTATTTTTATTTGTGAAGTAAATGAAAACAAGTCTAAACTATAATAAAAATTAAAAAAAAAGAAGAAATTGCAAAATAGCAAAAAACAAGTCCAAAGGGTGCAGGCTGAATTCAGTAAGTGTGCATAAGCAGGGCGCTAGGGCCCATCAAGTTGAATCCATAACCTAGTTTTTTTATTCACAAGCAACTAAATCAATAAAAAAAATGATGTTGGGCCCATTGCCAGAAAATCCAATAAGCTATCTGTTGTACCCCAAAATTTTCCCTCTCATATTTCTCAAGACATTGCAAGAAAAATCTCCAAGTGGCTCAAGATTGCTCAAGAGTTGGACAGTTAAGCTGTCTCCTAAGGTAGTCAACCCCAAATTAGGGTTTTGTGTTGCATCAAGATCCTTGATTCCAAATGACCTAAAGTGTTCCCCAATGTCCTAATATGTTCTCAAGGTCACCCATGTCAAATTTCAAGCCTTGCAGAGGAAGTTTGCCCAGTCAATTGCTCAAAGGGTCCAAAAATCGGCTGTGCTAGGGCAAAGGTCAACTGTGACCTATAAACAGTCAAACTTCAATATTTTTTGTAAAAATTCTCATTTTGAAGGGTATTTCATCATTTGATCAAGGGTTGATCATGATTCATCAAGGATTGCTCAAAATTCATCAAGACTCAAAAGTTGCTAAATTAGGGTTTTGTAGGAAAAGTCAACTCAACTTTGACCAAGCATAACTTTCTCATACTTTATTAGAAATGACCCATAAAAATCTCATTTTGAAGAGGATTCAATTTCTTACAATCCATATTCATACCCCAAGATCATAAAATGCACTCACAAGAAGTTATAAATTTGGACATTATAGGTCATTTTTGAAAGTCAACAAAAACACCTTTTTTGCCAAAGCTTATAACTTGAGCATGGAATATCAAAATGCGATGAGACCAAAAGGGTTGGTTAGAGGACATCTCAAGCTTTCTAAAAAGTCCAATAACACCTCCAAAAGTTCAAAATTGAAGAAGTTATGCATTGTTGAAGTTGGGCATTTTTGCAAAATTGCCAAAAGTCAACCATCCCCAAAACATCAAATTTTGTCAAATGGGCCCATTCTTTTCCACTTGATTTGAGCTTTCCCCATTGCACACGTTTCCTAGCTTCAGCCTTGAGATCATATTTCTTTTTTATTATTTTATTTGATTTTTTATTGAATCATTTCATTTTAAATCAAATTAAATAAAATAAAATCCAAATATTGATTACTTGGTATCTTTTTGGCTATTTCAGGACTGAATCATCATCATCAAGGGTATCAAACTCGTATCAAGCAATCCATGTGCAAAAAGATTGAGTTTTGACAATTTTGGAAGGTTTAGTAATGGTGAATCAAATCAAATCCCATGACATTGATGTGGAAAGATTCAAGGCACAATTGTTAACCTAATGCATTCTATCATACATAAGGAGGCTAGAGGGAACAAAAACATGGCTGGAGGCTGCAAGAACACTCAAAGCAAAACTTGCAAAATTCACAAAAAAGTGTGAAACCTAAATCACACTTAGATGCGTTTTCAGAAGCAAAGCTTGATACCAATCGATTGTTGGGTGTCTACTCAACCTTCTGGGATCCAAAACACGCATTGTTCAACCTCCTAGAGCACTATAAGTGTCACATGGTCCCCCTCTGAATTTTATTTCGCATTTCCAAATCCATGCATCATTACAAAAAATCAATGGCATATTTGTAACCACCAGATAATTTCCAAGCTTTCCATATTATTTGATTTCGTTTATCTGCTCTGTGGTGCAAAACGCCATTGTTAGGGTTTTTCCTCTTAGATTAGGGTTTTTCATTACAGGTAAAATTAGCCCTAGTAATGACCATGGACATGACCGGGAGAGGAAGACGAACGCAACCATGGTCTTGGGAGGAGTTTATATGGCCTGAGATGAATTTTGGGAACGACCTAGGCATTTAGCTGCAGATTCAAATCCGCAGGTAATTTCTTTACAGGCCTGAGGACAGGGACGACAACGTGTCCCCTTCTGATTGGTCCTTTCAAATTTTCGCGCACTTTTTTTATTTTGCTGGAACATTAATCCATTTTCTCATATTATTATTGTTTTACAATATACTAACAAATAGAACAAAATGGCTGAGTGGTAAACGCGTGCATCCAATGACCAACAGGACCTGGGTTCGAATCCCAGGTCCTTCACTTTCTTTGTTAATTTTTTCTTTCAGGTGATCATGTGCATAGTCCAAACGTGCAGCCCACCATAGTCTCTCAATCATCCAATGGCCAGATGGCCAGAGGCCAAATCCGGTGGCCATGATATGGAGGTCTATCATAAGCAAAGTCCGCGCCTACATACTGAATCAGGAAAGTCAATAAGGGGCCAACTAAATTGGGCTTCAATTGCTATCCTGACCCCATTTTCCAGGCCCATACATCTCTAACCTTCTTTTATTTATGTTTTTGTTTTAATTGCTTTATAATATTTTGTTTAATTCATTAACCAATCAAATTTTTTTCTTTAATAATAAAATCAAAACCAAAAAATATTTTCTTTATTAAATTAAATTTTAGTATTTTATTTTTATTAACAAATCAATTAATTAATTTAGGTCATTAATTAGAATTAACTTTAATATATTTTTATAAATAAATAAAATTAACTTAGACATGATTAGGTTTTTATTAACATTGATCAATTTTATTTTCTTTCTTTAAATAACAAAAATCCAAAAATATTTATTTTCATTAATTAATTAATTAATTTAATATAATAATTAATTTAGGATAGTTTATTTCTTAAAATTAAAAAAAAATAATCTTTTCTTTAAATAACAAAGGGTCAAAACCCTAGAACCTCGCATTCGATTTAATTTCCCGCACGCGATCCATTTTATTCGATATTGTATTTGTTCCCAGGATGTAATAGATAATTAGGACTATTTCTATTGCTTTATTTATTTTCCGCATTTAAATTTCAAAGGGTTTCTTTTGGCGATGTAAATACCCGACGCCTTGTAATTTAATTTCCGCAATTTATTTTCCGCAAATTATAACTGTTAGATGTTTGATAATAGGTTTGCATGACAAGACTGAATGTTTTAACCTAAAATCAACATGGATCACCTTTAACATGTACAAAGATAAAATAAACTGAAAACGACACACTCGCACATGCGCACTCTTAGGGTACACCCCACTTGGTTGCCTTCGTACAAGGTCATTGAGTATAGGTCACTTTAGAGGTCGCCCTCTTGTCCAAAGATCATAGTCGCCTCGAAACGGTTGCCTCGGATATTGTTGTGTAAAAAAAAATGATCTAAGACATTAGGGTTACCGCTAAGGCATCCTAACATTGCTTTGGTGACCGTAAGTCCCTAAATTTGAATTGACCCTTAAAACTCCAACGACGGTGCTACCTACTCATCAATAGTGGGATATCATTGTCTAAAGGAAGATAGCATAGAACGATTCCTTTTTCGAGTAGGTAGATGGTTCTTAAGTACTTGCTCTTTCAAAAAACAAAATCTTTTTCACACTTACACTTTTCAAACAAAGTTTTCAAAACATTTCATACGATCGAAGTTTTCAAACAAAAACTTTTTCAAACCCACCAACACAAAGAAAAGCAATTTTGAAAACAATATGAGCAAGTACCTAAGAGCCCGTGGATAACCACAGATAGAAAGGGTGCTAACACCTTCCCTTTCTATAATCTACCCCTCGAACCCGAGAAATATCTCGAAAAAAGGAATTTTTCGGTGCTTTTTTTCCTTTCCTTGTTGGATAAAATAAAAGTCGGTGGCGACTCTTGCTTACCGCGACATTTTGCGAAAACAAACGCAAAACGCAAACCAGCATTCCAAAAAGCAGTCAGTTCTTCCCACCGTATCACACTATCTTTTTGTTCCAATCTCTGCAGACTTCATAAAAATGCATCTGATGGGCTTAGGAGGGAGGTGATCCGATCCACATGATCAAAAAACATCATCAACAATTTATATTATTATAATTATCAATAAAAAAACAATAAATAAATAAAAACAATCAATTAGAAAAGAAGGGCAAATGGTGGCGTATTGAGGAGATAGGCTTGATGAGGGTTTGTGATGTTCCCAGTTCCACATGAAGCTGTCTTCTTCTTCCCTGAAGCTTCACTGACGGTGCGATACTGATTCCAGCTTCTTCTTCCTTCATAATAGCGCCGCACGAGTGAACTCCGTCATCTTCCTCTTCCATCAGCCTCCGTTCCTTCGTCTTTAACTCTCAGTCACAGTTATCAGGCTTCTTTGCGTGCGACTTTGATCGGTCTCCGCTGCTCAACAACTTTTTGTTTTATTCATCCGATTCTATGCGTTTTTTGTTGTTGAAGTCATCCTGTTGCGGCCACCCCCTGAATCTTCCCCCAATCACCACAATTTGAGCGTGAGCCCTACCTATTTCGACCCCCTAAACACGAATCCAATGTTAGTTTTCGCCAACACCTCACCAATCAACGGGATCGAAGCACTCTTCTAAAAAATACCCTAGGTGTTACCATAGGGGAATTTCACGGGGATGACGCTAAATTAATAGAGGAAACCATTGATATTCCTCCTCATAATCCATAAGCTACCTTCAGATTGTCTTGAGAACAAAGAAGACGCGGGATATTGAAGTATCGTGAGACTTAACTATACCGCTGAGGAAGACGATGGTGAATTAGTTTCAAAGATTTCAGGTATGCACGCTTAACGTTATTCTTTATCTTCGTCTTCATGATCCCGCTTGATTGTGCACATCCGTGATACCTATCATGTGTTACGATTTCTCTGCTGATTGAGCCTTGTATGGTTGTTGATACAACTATGTGAATATTATGGTGATGCAGAATCTAACTGCGATTCAATGTTGATGGTGAAGAATTATTGTCAAAGATTTGATGACGATCGTGAAGCCATCGTGTGAGTGCTCTCTACTTGAATTGATATGTGATGCGAAAATGTCATGTGGAGAGATGATGAAGAAGGGTTAAGGGTGATGGATTTGAGAGAGAATCACTGTGAGAGAATGGTGATGTTTCAGAGAGAAAGCAAAGAAAGGAGATATTTTCAGCTTTTTCTTGGTGAGTTTTCTGAATCCTTCTCTGTGAATTTTTGTCAAGTGAATAATCGTATCTCACTGAATGAATCCCCCATGCAATCTGTTATGGACCTCCTCCTCTGTTGTGTATCCTTGTTTCTGTTATGTAGTTTATCTTTTTGGTTTTCGGAAGTTAAGAGTTAGTTTCAGGTTAGAAGTTTGTTATAGGTGGTTGGGTAGTTATTATAGACTGGCAGTTAGAATTCTGTTAGGAGAGTGAATCTGGGTTGTTAGATTGGGGAGTTAGAGGTGAAATTCTGTTAGGTGTTAGGATTTTGTTAGAGAGTTTGGTATAGAAATTGGCTTAGGAAAAAAAGTTTGGAGGTTATGAATTTGTTAGTTATTTTTTCTGCTGGAAGTTTCTGTTATTTGAAACAATTAGAAGGCTTCTTTTCTTATATCAGTTGGAGTTGTTCTGTTAGGGATTAGTTACTTGGGTTATGATCAATTATAAGTGGTTATCTCTGAGCTGATAAAATCGGTTAGGACAGTTAGAGAGGTAGTTATGGAATTGGATAGGAGATAAAGAGTTAGTTAGAAAACTGTTAGGAATTAGTTATAACAGATGGGATTTGGTTAGGGGTTGTTAATAGTTAGGAATCAGTTGAGAACTGTTAGAAAATTCTGTTTGAGTTTCCTGTTAATTGGTTACAAGTTAGAAACTATTGGAGAATTTTGTTAGTGGCCCCCTTTTTTTTGTGCTTCATACTTGAAGTAATTTGTCTCAGGTAAGGATGGCGAGTTTCTTTTTTAGTTGAAGAAGCATACGTCGATGTTTTAGTTGGATTTTATATCAACTTTGAACTTCTTGGTATCGAAATTTGAGATGCCTTAGATTTATTAGGATGATCCAATTTCACAGCTTTCTCTTTTAGTATTTTCCTGCTCTCGTGTTTTTGTTGCGTTGAAACTGAGAATGTAGAAGTTGTTGTGTTGATACATTCTTATGATGTCAATGTTTTTTTATCTGTGCATAAAAATTGATGAGATATTGAAAATTCAGAGATTCACGAATGAAGCGTAGTGATGATTGATTAAAGATCTGACTTTGGATCAGTAGTAGAGATTGAAGATGATGCAAAATATGGTTGATGTTGAGATGCTGCAAAGATGATGCAGAAGAAGATTATGATGATGGAGATCACAAAGACTGTGAGGATGGAGATCACAAAGAAGTTGTTGTTGATTATGGTTAAGTTGGTAAGGGAATCAATTATTTTGGTTTTTGTCTTGGTTAGAAACTCTTTCCATATCTCTGGGCCAGTAGTTTCATAATGCACCTTTGGATTCACAAGGTTGTCAAATTGTTGAAGGATATATATATTTGGAGTATTGGCCAATATCTCTTCCTCTTTCTGAACTTCCCCTTTCATTCCCTTTTGCAGGATCTGTCAGAACCAACTAAGCCCCAAAAGATAGAAGAATGGTTCTTCTTTCAAGACACATTGTAGTAGGCATTGTAGTGATAAGCTTGTAGCCTTTTACTGTTGCTAGGAAGGACAATCTGATTCCTGCGTTACCGCTCGTTGCCTCAATGAGGACACTCTTTCCAGGCGTAATGAGCCCCTTCTCCTCTGCATCAGTAATCATACTATAGCTAGTCCTGTCTTTAACACTGGAACATGGCCCCATCTATTCAAGTTTCGCGGCAACGCGAGCAATAGAACCATCCGTGATTTTGTCCAGATATACTAAAGGGGTTTTTCCAATCAATTGTGTAACATCTTTGGAAATTCCAGACCTTTCAACCGCCATGCTATAAGCTCACCATAACACTTTTGAAAAATGTCAAGAGCTTTGGACTCTGAAAAATAACAACAATTTGGATGTATATGTAATGTGAGATTAGTTATGACAAATTAGTAGATTAGTTTATGAACATAGACGGTTTTTGGGGTTAATGATTTTTAGAGATAGCTGTTGAATTATATTATGGAAACATGGGTGGCTGTGATAAACAAAAGATAATGTAGCAATATTGACAAGAAGCTCATGAGCATTGTCAATTCTTTCCGCATATTCACTAATTTTCCAGATCATTGATGCCTTAGCTTCAGGCTCATCCAAAGTGTCTAAGCTCTCACAAAGAGTTGCAATTATGGACTCATATATGTTGGAGGATCGTTTAAATATGTCTTTGATAACAATGATTTCCTCTTGAACCACGTAATTTACTTTTATCTTGATCAACTCAAGCAATACACTAATGCATCTCTCAACTGCTCTCTCTAATTTGATGATGCAACAGCAAATTGCACGAACAACCTTTCTAACAAAATCTACATCAACTCCAGTAGCATATTCCTTAAATTCCAATAAAACCTGGTCTATATTTCGATCTGTAGCAAGCTTTATCATAATTTCTAATTTCTCCATTTTCACATAGATAGGGTCATTGTATTTGCAGAAGAACACCTTAATTTCATGTTCAAGAATTGTCGGTGTTCTTTGTACAATAAGATTGATATTTCGTAGGGCAATATATTGTATCTCAGGTTCTGCTGAGACTAATGTCACAAGAGGACGGGCCCTTTTTTTGCAAAGATTCCAGACCACATCAGTACTGGTGATGAGATCCATTTGTTGAAGGATCATCTTAACAGCTGATAGTACAACTGCACAATTGCCATGCTTTTGCTTTTGTAATGTTCTTTTTTTCTTTTTGTTCAAGGTTTCCATGGACGACCGTGAATGAAGCTGTTTTGAAAATTTGAATGTGTAATGAACGATAACTCGAAAAGGCCTCACATTTTGAATTGGTTTTTTTGAATTTCTACTTAAAATTCTGTCTTAAAAATGCTTGAAAACCTTGAATGATATTGCATTAGGGTCACTTGAACGGTGAATGAAATTTGGATTTGTGATCTTGAAATTTGAAATAGCCTTGAATAATTCTTGAACGCCCTTATGCATGCATGAATTTGATATTTTCTCTAAATTCCAAATAACTTGTTTCTCAAGAAATCCCGCATGAATCCTTTTCTAACCTTGCGTGCTTGGTAAATGAACTTTAATCCAATTCTTGAACAAAACTTGAATTCACATGATATTTCTCTTGAAATAATCTAAAGCAAACTCCGTGATCAGAATTCCACCTTCCTGAAAGAACCCTAAAGCAAATGACCTATATCATAAGCCATGAAGCGAGCCCAATCTTCAATTGATGATCATGAACCAAATGGCCCCTAACATCATCCTATGTCCTTCGTGAGAGAATGGATCCAACACGTTGATCCCCATCAACCTTGTATAACAAATAATAAGATAACCAAACCGCCTTGGTCTTAATGAATTTACAATGCCATCCTTATATCACACCTCATTATCTCATGAACCTCCACTGGGGATGTTGATAAACCTAAGTATGATAGGATATAAATCCTAAACTTCCACAAAAAGCTTTTAGATTTTGATCTTCAAAGTGTTGAAATGAAATCTGAATCAACATAGATTATATTGCAGGTAAGCCAATCGACCAGATGAAGAGCTTTGCATTATAAGGTGTACGAACCCTAATTCGTGAAGAAGGTCCAACTGAATCTTCTCCTCTGGAATAGAGCTTGTGCCCATATGACTTGAGATTTAAGCAATGGTTCCCTTCTTATTTTGCCAAAGATATATCAATTGAAACCCTGATTGTTCATGGACGATATCCCTTGATTATAGCCTTTCCTGATAATCACAACTTCCCAGAGAAACCTCTCTTGAACTGTACATGATTTAGAGAAATAAACCCTACCCTAATCAAAGGATGATGTTGAGCACAAGGAGATAATGAATGCTTGATTTAGTAGCCCTTAGATGACCCCGTAGAACAATTTGGAATTGAACATGGGAATACCGAAAGAAATATGACCAAGATGGCCACGCCTTAGAAAACCTAATGAACCTCGGTTGATGAAATGCTGAAAAGCACAAACTTGGTGGAGAAACACTCCGACTCTTGTCTTGAATGTATCTGAATAAGTAATAGCCCCTTAATCTTTGAAGAAAACAGAACCCTCAATAAGCATAGGTTGCAACCCTAAATCCACATTTCACTGCTTGAAGGGTAATAAGAAGAATCATGCTTATTGGATACGAACACCTTATCCATTGCAAAACCCTAATATCGCACAGCCATCGAACTTTGAACCTCAAGCGCTTTACTGAATGCAAATGTATGTTAATGACCTAATGGAATATATACAGATGAATGCAAGAGTATAAGCCATATAGAAGAAATTAGGAGGGAAAATTTTGGGGTGCAACATCTGCCCCTATTTAATCGCCTTCAACCTGAAGGTGAGATTGGCGTCAGCTTTTCGAACTTTCAAGGTGGAAGAAGATTAAATACTAAAAGAACCCGAAAATTTGCACTCCGGAGCCAGTCAAAAATACATTATATTTTTGGTTTTCTGTATTTTCTATTTTTTTTTTGCTAGGTAAAAGAGGTTATCAGGGTTAGATGTATGTTTAACCAGAGCTTGACACACAGAAGAATAACTTGGTTATCAAGGAACACTTGTTGGGATTTAATAACAAAAACCTGTAAGAAAGATGTCAAAAGGTATATGCCTGAAGTCTGTAGCAGACATACGAAAAAAAGGTATCAGAGACACATATCTGGGGTCGGTAGCAGATACGTACGCAAGAGATATCACAGATACATATCCGGGATTGGGAGCGGATACGCATAAAAGAGACAAAAAAGATACATATTCGGGGTTAGTAGCGGATACGTACAAAAGAGATATTAGAGATATCAAGAACACATGTTTGGGGTTGGTAGCAGACATATGGAAAAGGCATCAAAAATACATATTCGTGGTCGGTATCGGATACATAAGGAAGAGATAGAAAAGATACATATCCGTGTGTTGTACCCCAAATTTTGACCTAAGATATCATCTCCCATCTGCATCATTACATTACAAGTGTTTTGATCCATTGATTTTAAAATTCATAACTTTTTTTCAGGCCGAGAGCTATTTATTTTGAACACTAAATTATTTAATCGATTCGTGCTAAAATAATGTTTATTAATTATTTATTATCTTAAATTTAAATAATTGGAATTTGTTTTCGATTATTATGTAATTTAAAGATGTATAGATAATAAAATAAACATTAGAAAAGAGGCGCATTAATCGTGCAGACAGTATTTATTTATTATGCACTATCTTAAATTTAAATAACTGGAATTTATTTTCAGTTATTACATAATTCAAAGATTTATGAATAATATAATAAATATTCGAAAAAGTTCATTAATTGGTCAATAATAATTATTTAATTATTATCATTCTAAGTTAAAATAATTGAAATTCTATTTTAATTATTATAACTTGGAAAGTCATGAATAATGAATTAAATAATTGAAACTATTAATTGATCAACGATGTTATTTATTTATTTGTTTACTATTCTGAATTTAGGTAATTGAGATTTATTTTCAATTATTATACAATTTAAAGAATTGTAAACAATAAAGTAAATAATTAGAGAGAAAGAGGAAATTAATTGGCGAATATTGAAATTTTATTCATTTTTTCTAATTGTACAATTATTGTGGTAAATATTGTATTTATTACAACAAAATTACAATAATAATTTTACAAAGTTAAAATGAAATAAAAATTAATCTAATGTTCCTAATTCTAAATCTTCTAATCCAATGCATTTTTGTCTGCTCACTTGATGTTACCTGCAAAATTAAAAGAAATTAGAATTTGAACAAATAATTAAAAGCAAAATTATTTAATGTTCATCATTAAAAGAAATGGCTGGAATCAGTTTACCTTTTTTTGCAAATCACGGGATTTCTCCCGGTTCACAAAAAAGAGAGGAATTTTTATAAATGAATGCACAAATTCATTTTTGTCAAAAATTGCATCTTTCAAATTAATTGCATTTTTTAAAATCCAATGCATTTTTCAAAATATGCACAGCATACAAAGTCCATGCATAATTTCAACAACATATGCAAGGTACATAACAAAGCCAACGTAACTATGCAGCCATATAAGAAAGTAAACATAGGCTCCCATGCAAGACAAAAGAGTATGCATTTTCAAAGCAATATGCAAGCAAGTATTTCCTTTTTCATCATATTCCAGCCTTTTGCTCTTTCAGAACAACAGTACAATACATCATTTCTATGTATCAAATGTACCCATGAGAGAGAAGAGAGGAAGAAATTGGGTTTTGCAGGTTTGGTTTAGGCAGGAAGGGATACAAGACAAACTGCAGTAACACAACCAGTAGGAAGTAAAAACATAAAATAGGAATAGAGACAAACTAGATGTAACAGTATGATGCAGAAGGCCAAGAATATTGTAAAAATATTCAAATCTCCAGCCTGTAACGTAAACAAAGGAGGCAGTGGTTATAACATAATGGAATCACTTCAAAACAAAGATATCAATCAATCTCCAAGCCTTGAAAAACTTAGAAAAAATTGCTGTCAACAAGAAAAATATACAAACCAATAAGAACCTGCATAACCATTTCCATTATCCAAACCATACAAACCTTATGGCCTAACAACAAAAAACCTATTCCCCTGTTTCCATCAACCAGCGTAAAACCAACATAACCTTATGTCAAGCCATTACCCAACCAAGAAACCAGTATACCTAAAATCCTTCAACATGGCCTAAACCAGTAGAATCATAAACCAACAAACACCATCACCATTTCAAACCAGCAAAGCATAAACCATTGAAACCATGTCCAAACACACATAAAGCCTCAGATCATATCCTCATAGGCAACCTAAATTCAGGCAACAAAATCACAAACGCAAAGAGGCAACCGGATCACAGTGAAAAGATGAGAAAGCTAGTCAAAAAAAGTATTTTTCAACAATAGCAGTACCAAAGTCAGAAAGAAGAAGGAAGCCAAATACAAAATACCGGCCACCGAAGCAAGCTCGCGACGCGCCTCCTTTCCTCGCCTCGGCCTCCGACGCTCATCCAACCTCCTCCTCCGTCTCCGAAGGTAACCCTTTTCTTTCCCTTTCTTTCAGACCTCAAATAACATTAAAAGTTCGAAGTAAGAATCAAAATGTAATCAAAATCAACGCATGTAAAAAATGTAACAAAACTTTAACGAATCAGAAAGCATTTTGTACCGTGAATCCATCGTTTGCCTTAGCTTGCGTTGGAGGGAAGAGGAGTTTGGAATGCTGGTGGCCTTTAGGCAAGGAAGCTTAGGCAAGTTCAGAGGCAGGAGGCAGAAGAACGCGAAGAAGATGACGAACGAACAAGAAGCGTCGCTCGGCCAAACCTTGAGAACCCTAATCCCAATTAACAAATGCATTTACCCTAAAAACAATTATGAGAGTGGACCCTGCTTCCACTTAAGCCCACGATTCCCTTAGGCACCCCCCACTTTACTTGTTTCTGTTTGGGCTCCCTAACACCCTTTAGCCCATATCAATTGCTTATCATCTACTCCATTTTTTATATATACCCCTTTTTCTATTTTTTCCTTTTAGAATTTTTATTAGTGTTAGATAATTAAAATGTAATCAAAATGAGAGTTTGTATTTAATTTAGACATTTTAAGAATCGACCAATTTTATTAATTTAAACCCTTGGGATTTAATATCTTTTAAATTAGACTTAAGTTATTAGCATTAAGTTTTAACTTAATTTAATTCTTAAAAAGTAATACTTTTATTAATATTAAAAAGA